TCAATTTAACCCGTCTTTATGGTGGGACCACACACAGTTCGTGTGCACACATCTTGTACAAGCATATGCACAGACACACACACACACACACACACACACACACACACGCACTTGAAAACGTACTTCATTGCATTGCATACCTGTATGCATCTGTCCGCCCATCAACCATCTATCTATCTTCTATCTAACCATCCATCTATCCATCCATCCATCCATCCATTGTCCTGTCTGTCTGTCTATCTATCTATCTATCTATCTATCTATCTATCTATCTATCTATCTATCTATCTATCTATCTATCTATCTGTCTGTCTGTCTGTCTGTCTGTCTGTCTGTCTGTCTGTCTGTCTGTCTGTCTGTCTATCTATCTATCTATCTATCTATCTATCTATCTATCTATCTATCCATCCATCCATTGTCCTGTCTGTCTATCTATCTATCTATCTATCTATCTATCTATCTATCTATCTATCTATCTATCTATCTATCTATCTATCTATCTATCTATCTATCTATCTATCTATCTATCTATCCATCCATCCATCCATCCATCCAACCATTGTCCTGTCTGTCTGTCTGTCTGTCTATCTATATCCATCCATCCATCCATCCATCCATCCATCCATCCATCCATCCATCCATCCATCGTCCTGTCTGTCTGTCTGTCCGTCCATCCATCCATCCATCCATCCATCCATCCATCCATCCATCCATCCATCCATCCATCCATCGTCCTGTCTATCTATCTATCTATCTATCTATCTATCTATCTATCTATCTATCTATCTATCTATCTATCTATCTATCTATCTATCTATCTATCTATCTATCTATCTATCTATCCATCCATCCATCCATCCCTACCACCCACCCACCCTCCATCTATCCATCCATCTGTCCATCCATCCATCCATCCATCCATCCATCCATCCATCCATCCATCTATCTATTGTAGGAGAAGAAACTCATTAATTTACTGTCAAGTGACATTTCCAACCCAGGCTCATTCTGAAAACGTACCCCTGTATACATTTCTGAAGAGTGCCAAATATGTCCCATGACTACGTTTTTCAGATATTAAATTTCTCTTGCAAGTGCCATTCGCGCCTGCTGTTCTCACGTAAACCCACCAGAGCCCGCTGTCGACAGACTAGCTTACTGACTGACTGACTGATCGTCTGACCTACCCTCTCCCTTCCTTAAACCCAACTGATAGTGTTTTCAAAAGCACCGATTGAACAGCGGCGCCATACCACCCTGTAGCATTCGTTTTAAAGATGAAATATAGCAATAAGTAGGCTGGACATTTCAGTGGAAAGTTTTTTTATAAGTGTGAATTCAGTCAGTTTTCAGAGTAAAAAGCTATTCATTTGGCAATTAACATAAAGAAAGTCATTTCACATTGAGTAAATTGGATATAGGATGCTTAATTTTCATCAAATCAAGCATTCATGTTATTTTTGCAAATTTCAACTTCACATTCTTTTTTTTTTGTTGTTATTCATGTTCTTACATGAAAAGCAACAAGAACCAAAAACATATAAATACAAATAATAATTAAAAAAGAATTCTTAAACTATACGGACACTTTATCCCTAAAATAAACCTAAACAAACATCCATAAAGAGGTTTTATGGCAAAAAGGGCTCATTTACACAAAACACAATGTCTCCTTCCTTTAGAACTTAAGAGAAAGAGAGTTGTGCTGTAAACAGTGTGGTCTCGCATCAGTGCCACGCTTCTTTGTTGTGACCGTTTTATTTTTATCAGCCCATTCCAGGTCACATTTAGACCTCCACAGTGTTGCCTAATCAGTCATAAATCCAGCCACCGCTGAGAAAAGCCCAGAAAACACATCTAAGAGACTAGCATGTCAGTCAACATTACAGGGGCACAGAGTCAGATCTGTTTAGGAAGGAGGAGGGATGTGGAAGCAAGAAACCGCTTTGTGGCCTTTCTAGATTTTTCCAGTGTGTAACAGTTAGTTGTCTTTGCAAAAGAGGCTAAATGGTGTGACAATAGCCAGAAAGTATCAATGACTGTCATCACTTTCTATACACTATTATAATGTTCTAGTTTTTAGCAAAATAGTGTTATTTAAAGAAAAACACAGCGTGATGTTGGCCGATTCGAATGTTATCACTCCATTGAATAGGCGTTATCAGCAGGGATGGGTAGTTTTTATGATACATGTATTTTAAATATGTATTTTAAATACAAAATAGTATTTTGTCATTTGTATTTGATAGGGCTGACGAAAATAGGTAAATATTTTGTATCAAAATAATTTAGTGTCTTATTTTTTTTAAATATTGTAAAATACTGTGCTTCCCACAAGTTTAAAAATATACTTGCAGTGGTAGCCGGATTGAAATACTTGTGACTTTTAACTATATTTTTATTTATTATGACACTGTTATACATCTTTTCTTTTCAATTGGCTAAAGTTATTTTAAAAAAGCTGTTGAAATAAAAGAAATCCACTTCTTCTTTTCTTTTATGCTATTTAGGAGCCATGTGCACCCACTGACAGGTAAAGGGTGCTCTCTCTCTCTCTTTCTCTCTCTAAAGTTGCTTTATAGGCTTGACATTTACAGTATTGCCAAAGCATTTTAGATATGTATAAAGTATACAATATATTAACATCATTAAATTAGTAAAATATACAGCAAATGGGAAATAAATATCAGAAAAAAATGAATAAAAAATAGACAATATTGCTAAAAATTAAAAAAATTACCAGAATAAAAAGTGTAGAATATTTAAATAAAGCAAATTAGTTGATTAGCCATTTCTAACAAATACTTTACAGCAATATTAGATGTCATTTTGTTCTCTTCAAATGTATAGTAAAGTTTATCTGAGTCGTTTAATAATTGATTTTGCAGTCAGCTGCGAAAAGGTAATGCAGAAACGCATACAAATAAAGGTAACTTTAGAAAGCGAAAGTAAAACCCGAATGCCGGAAACTTTGGGAGATTCAGAAACTACAGTCAGACGCATTTTGGCGGAAAAGGCGCATCTCTGTGGGTCTGCAGAGCACATGATTGTCTGTGTGAGTGACAGATTGTGATTTGTTGCTTATATGTGACAGATTGGATCTGTTCTATAACATGGGAAAACACGGAAAAAAGAATGTATTCGGATATTCAGAGATCGGTTTCAGGCCACCTTTATATGTGAAAATAAATCAGATATAAATTATATATTTGACAATGCGACAATCATGTAAACAGGCAGATCGGATTTATTGAGGCATTCTGTTGCGATCAATAAACTTGCGACAATGTGGTGCTTCTTCGCGGTTTAATGACGCAGAAGGAAGACATGTGTGGAGACGCCAACGCGGTAAACAACAACAACAGAGGAAACATAGAGGAAAGTGGTCAGTCGCCACAATTTGCTCCCACCAGACCTGAGATCTCTCTCGTACCCATAAATTCCTCTGAATGATGGAAGACATCATACAGCATATAAAGCATAAGCGCAAGATGCGATGACGGCCCTTTCCCACCTCCTCTGCCTAAAAATCGTTTTAAAGTTGGGAGAACTTCCGTGTTGTAACTTTTGTTTTTTGTCGCTACTAATAAACGCACAGACATAGAACAAATTAATTTTCTTAAACACTAGTGCACACACAGGCAAAGGCTACATCTTCAACTACACACACACACACATCAGGGCCATACCATTACATAAACTGTGTGGAGGTAAATCTAGACTAAACCATTCACTGCTTACGCTACACTTCACATATTTTTTATAGAGCAAAAAACAAGAAACTTTCTTCCATCGTGGCTAGTGTGGCGTTGATGCTAGAACCCGCTTTCATGCATGCGCAACATCGTAAATTGTATGGCAAAAAATATGATATAGGCAACAAATCGAAATTGGGCATCAAGACCTGACAGTGTAAAGTGGGCCAAAATGTGGCCTTTAATAGTGGTGTTTTTCTCAGTTATTTGCCAGACTTGAGATCAGACAAAAAAATTATTAATATTAATTCTGTTGTTTCCTTCTGATTGGTTCTCGGGATATAGCAGCCTTTTCTGTCAAAGGCAAATGGCGTTTAGCGGCTTTTGCCAACAAACTGTTATTTCTGAATGCGCTGATGCTGCGATTTAGATGATTTCAAACAAAACTATGGCCGAGTCTGAAATCACCTACTACTCAGTAGGTGATTTATTTGAATTTAAACGTACTACTAGGCCGTTAGAAAAGTACGTTCTATACAGTACGAATGTGAAAAGTATTAATGGAATTCGGACGTACTACATACGCTATTTTGTCAAGGTCACGTGACCCACCTGCGTCAGTTGCGCTTCACTCCCATTCATGAATTCTCTCACGGGGTATCATGGAATAGCGCAGCATGCAAAGGATGCGCACTTCAGAATCTCGCCGAAAGTAGTAAGTCATCCAGATATTTCTCTCATACTGATTTTTGAATGCTATGATGTTAGCGTACTATATAGTTCAGAAGTGTGGGGTTTCGGACAGTCTATTTGTTAAACATGTTCTATGTGTCTAAAGCATTTACTCAATGTCATTATTTCATTTTTGGCGGAAGTGGCATTTAGCGGGTTTTCCATCTGAACTCTTCATATATTCCAACATACTATCTGCAATAAATGGTTTTTACAGTGATTAAAGAGATCATCTTCAAGACTTTCTCTAACAATACTGCTTTTTAATAGATGAGTTTATAAACAGGATTGTAAGTTCAGTATATGTTTTTGTGTGTGTGAGTGTGTGTGTGTGTGTGTGTCTGCACCTCACTAATCATAATTTGTTATCGAACTAAGAAATACAAATATCCATATAAAGAAAGCCAGGATGGTTTGATTGATGAACTGTTACTATCAGCCTCCTTTTTAACGGCCTCAGTAACTGTCCGGGACTGGTAGGAGGGGGGATGTTGGCCTCAAATGAAAGCTACTTCAAAGAACTATTAGTCATATATATCAGTTATACATTTGCGTGTGTCTAATTGCTCACACCTGTGATGTTGGTGGTAGAGTCTGTGTGGGAGCTGGTGGGGGTGCTGGAGCTCTGCGTTTCTTTAATTCCACTTTCGGGGACATCTTGGAGATGTTCATCACAGACTGAGATTGACCCAGAGTGCTGGGACGGGCCTCCACACATGGACCACTTGCCACCACAGACATACCCTGAGCATAAAAACCAAGGAAATACACTTTAATAGATACACAAATACACATTCCAGAAGATATTTAACACTATAGATGATTGTGTTCGCAGCCAGATTGATTGGAATTGATTGAACTTTATTTTGAAGAGTACAAGTAACAGAGGCAAGAATCACACCAGTGCAAATAGCAGTATGTCTGTATATATATAAAGCAAATGCATGGGGTGGAGAAGAAAAGATAAGTTCAATGCAAATGAAAATGTGTACAAATATATTTTAATTCTTTATGTGCAAAGAAAGTTGTAGAAAGATTACAACTGTTAAATCGAACAGAATATGAAACAAATGAACAGGATAAAAAATTGACTGTGGCATTTGAATTGGCTTTAGGAGACAGTAATTCCACACTTTAGTCCTCAAGGGTGGAAGGTTAGCAGGAAAGTGACTGTTAATTCAGAGCTGTAGAGCTCCAAGACGATGCTTTTTAAAGGGCAGCAGGTTTAACAGAGGACAGCAAATCAATAACATTTGGGCTGGAAATGTCATGACCTGTTGGTGGAGAGTTCTGAGGGCTTTACCCTGACCATGACCCTAATTTTACAGACCATAAAACAGCTGCCCAGAGTGAATGGTTACCAGGGAAGAACTTTAATGATACAAAAAATAAATAAAAAATCCCAACTTAATTATTAATTCCTAAACTCTGGAATAGCCTTTCTGATAATGTCCAAGGCTCAGACACACTCTCGCAGTTCAAAACTAAATTAAAGACCTATATTTTTGGTAAAGCATACAATCAATGCATCACATAGCGGTGTGATACATGAATGTGCTCAACACAGGTTTTTGCATCATACAGTATACACTTGAACAGCAGCTACGCTAATTATTCTCTTTACTCTCTATTTCCACCTGGGGATACTCATCCTGAGGCTCCCAGAGACTATGCAGTGCCACTGATGTGATCCAAGACCTGTGAAGAGCTGATCCCCAAGGTTTCCGCAATTCCAGACCCGGCCATATCATAAGCAGCTGCTGGGGTGGTCATGAAGGAGTAGAGAGCATGAGTCTGATTCCTGTAAGACTACAGGGATAGATGAGTCTTCGCTGACATCCAGCGTTCTCCAGCCTCCGGCGCTTAGACTGCAGCTCTGCACAAGACGTTTGGCCATAGGAGAAATGGTTGTGCCCAACTAAGCCAGGTTTCTCTCAAGGTTTTTTATCCTTTACTTTGGCCAATTGGTGAAGATTTTTTCCTCGCCGCTGTCGCCACTGGTTTGCATGGTTTGGGACTTGTAGAACTGCGCAGCGATGGATTTGGTTTTCAGTGTTTGGACTCTCAGCAGTGAGTATTAAACCACAATGAAGGGAAATAAACTGAACTTAAACTCTGAAAACTGAACCGACCCTGTTTCAATTTACTATAATCTTTTATGTGAAGCTGCTTTGACACAATCTACATTGTAAAAGCACTATAGTAATAAAGATGAATTGAAAAAAAAAAGTATTAATTCCTAATCTGCATGAGTAAATCTTCAATCACTGATACTACTAAAAACCTAAACTTTCTGAGATCTGCTTTTACAGCTGCATCATTTAGTATGTTTGAACTGCACTAAAGTTCATTTTCCAGATTGTTGTAGTCCGTTTGGTCAGGTGTGATCGCAGGAATTGCACTTGAGTATGCAACAAAAGTGGATCAAACAAGTGTACTAAGACCTGCTTGAAGAAGCGGTCTTAGTACGCCTTCAGGGTATATGCAGTAATCCTAAAGGTAATTTCAATACCTTCTTAAAGAACAGATATACACTTACTGTACAATCAAACAGAGAGATTTAAAATGGACACTGGCACATCTCTTTATGATAAAAAAAGAGACTTCACTGACAGTGAATGAGACTGTGATAGTCACAGACATATGATCTAAACTAGACACATAAACACACACACCTACACAAACAAACAGTAACATCTGGAAAGAGCAGAGAGACAAAATAATCACAGGCCTCATATCATGGTCGCTATCATGACTGATTTCATTAGACTACTCAACCTCCTTGCAATAGTTCAGCACTCTCTCTCTCTCTCGCTCTTTCATTTTTTCCCTCACCCCTCTCTGCCCTTAGAACGGAATGTTCAAAGTGGGAATGGCTATTAGTGTGTTATATAATCAGAAATCAGTTACTGCGACGTGTTGAAAATGGGTCTTGGCTCTGTCTGTGATGATAATGTAAATAGCATGCACCTGAGCTTGGGTAATTACAGGCAGAAGGCACTGAGATTTGGAAACAGCTCGCTGTAAAAATGGCTATTTGGCAGGGTGATTGGTCAGGAAAAAGGCACATTGTTGATGAATTATGGACATCCGAGCTGTTAAGCACATGTGCCCAAGTGTCATTAAGAACTCATTGTGGTTTTCAGAGAGGAAGTGGATGTATGAAGCAGCAATGTAGTTTAGAGATTATAAAATAAGAAAAATGTAGTGTGTGTAAGTATACCTAGCCAATTATAAACTGACAACACATTACACTATAAATAACTATTAATAGAGTAATATTTCTTCTTATTAAAAAATACAAAGATTTGTAATATGTTAGTTAGTAGTTGGTATAATAATATACTATATATTATATAAACACAAACACCTTAATTTTTTTTTATATATATTTTCCAAATGATGTTTAACAGAGCAAGGAAATTTTCACAGTATGTCTGATAATATTTTTTCTTCTACAGAAAGTCTTAGGTATGTTATTTCGGCTAGAATAAAAGCAGTTTTAATTTTTTTAAACACCATTTTAAGGAAAAAATTATTAGCCCCTAGTTCAGCCTTAAATGTCACTATACACGCTGTATAGAAGTCTCTTGAAAAATATCTAGTAAAATATTATTGAATGTCATCGTGGCTAAGACAAAATAAACCAGTTAATACAAGAGTTATTAAAACTATTATGTTTAGAAGTTGAAAAAATCTTCTCTCCATTAAACATAAATTGGGAAAAAATAAACAGGGGGGGGGGCTAATAATAAAATAAATAAATAAACAAAAATAAAAATAATAAAAATAATAATGTATATATATAATAATGTATATATATATATATATATATATATATATATATATATATATATATATATATATATACACACACACACACACACACACACACACACACACATAGTTTAGCATTTTCACGTCATTTCATTTACATCGAATCTAAATCACTTTTGTTTTTTTCATTTTAATCTAATTTGTATAATTTTATTTATTATCCATGTAAAATAATTTGAGTTATTTAATTATTATTTATTATCTATTACAATTTATTAATCTGAATTTTATTAAACATGTTTGTGTGAATTATATTATACAACATTATTATTGTTATTGGGTGGCACGGTGGCTCAGTGATTAGCACTCTCGCCTCACAACAACAAAGTCACTGGTTCGAGTCCCAGCTGAGCCAGTTGGCATTTTTGTGTGGAGCTAGCATGTTTTCCCTATGTTGGTGTGGGTTTTCTCCGGGTTCTCCAATTTCCCCACAGTCCAAAACCATGCGGTACAGGTGAATTGGATGATCTAAACTGGCCGAGTGTGTGTGTATGTGAATGTGAGAGTGTATGGGTGTTTCCCAGTACTGGACTGTGGCTGGAAGGGCATCCAATGCATAAAACATATGCTGGAATAGTTAGCGGTTCATTTCGATGTGGCGACCTCTGATAAACAAGTGACCAAGCGGAAGGAAAATGAATGAATGAATGAAGCATTATCTGAATATTTTAGACTCATTTGTATCCGTGTTTGATTGTTTTTGTTTTGTTTTTGTTTATTCTATCATTTGATTCTTTATCTTAATAATCTTAATTATCGTATTTGTTTTTAAAAAATAATCTATTAATTATTTTTACCCTATTATTCTTTTCCCAGACATTTTTATGGACCCTTTAGCACTACTTTCTTAACCCCAGTATTAAAAGTGTCTTCCAAAAAGTAAGATAATACCAGTCTAACAGGGACATTTGAAAAAGGTTTAGCTCAGATACAACTGATCCCCTCACAAAATCATTCATCAACACAGTATAAAAACTATGAACATGTTAATACAAAGTCAAACTGTGCAATCTGGGTCAATGATCCAAGTGATTACTGACACCTTGTGGTGATAAATAAGACAAAAACCTTCATATCTGGAACACACTTTTATTATCATTACTTGTCTGTCATTTAAATAAATAGCTAGATACCACACATACCCACCAATAGGTTTAGCAAAAGATTTTGTGAATATCATTACTATTATTATTATTACTATTATTCATTAATTTTCCTTTGGTTTAGTCCCTTTATCATTAGGGGTCGCCACAGCAGAATGAACCACCTACTTATCCACCATATGTTGTACACAGCGGATGCCCTTCCAGCTGCAACCCAGTACTGGGAAACATCCATACACACTCATTCACACACACTCAAAGACTATGGCCAATTTAGTTTGATCAATTTACCTATAGCGCATGTCTCTTTGGACTGTGGGGGAAACCAGAGAACCCAGAGGAAACCCACGCCAACACGGGGAGAACATGCAGACTCCACACAGAAATGCCAACTTACCCAGCCAGGGCTCAAACCAGCAACCTTCTTGCTGTGAGGCAACAGTGCAAACCACTGAGCCACCGTATGTATTATTATTGTACTTGAATGTTACTGCTAGTCTGTGGCCTTTTGAAAATATACAACAACAAAATACATATAATTCTATTAAATGTTGTTACATTCATTATAATAAAATCTATTTAATATTTAATTAATTTATTATTAAACACATTAAAGAAAAAAAATTATCAAGAGACAAACGAAAAGAAAAAAAGAATATGAGGCCATTAAAACAAGAGTTAAAAGTAGAAAACACCACCAATAATTAACCAAGAGATAGCAGAATTCTGTTAAAGTCCGTGTGACTTGAAAGTTGCTGAGACTTTTATTTCAGTATGTTGATGTACTTTCAACTGAATTCCAACATTGAGTAGTGGGTGGGGCTTTCTTTTTGCTCATCTTTCCCGTTTGGCAAATTAACGGTTCAATGGGTGTGCAGGGGCGCCCCCAAGGGGTGGCAACTGCCACCACTGTATAAACTCTGGCCACCCCTGTGGCCACCCTAATATGATTTCGCTGTTGATATAATTAATTTAAATGTACTTACGTAAATTCTCAATAATAAATAAATAAATAGCAGGCACTAAATTATAGTGGATTGGTTGGTGCCACTTACGTAGCGGATTCAGTGCAACTCCCCCAACCCCCCTGTTTACAGTATGCACACACCTTCAATAGACAGCAAAGGGCAATTGTATATTTACCTTAAGGTACATTAATAGAAGAAGCTGTATTAAAAATATTGTGACTATAAAACGAATATGGATTAGAGTCTGTATAGTGAGTGTGTGTTTAGACCTTTTTCTTGGAACGCAAAATTACCCATTATGCTTTGCGTGTTTGCGCAAGGAGAATGCGAAGAACTTCCGGTTGGCAGCTGATGCGTGTAAACAGTCACATTTGGACAGCTTTGAAACGATAGTTTTAATCTATTTTACCTGCTTTTATCCTCTTTGAACTAATACTGTTGTCCATCAGCACCATCTCCTGGACTGATCATTTAAAGAAATGCGATCTAATGTGATGGAAAACAGCTGCTGTGAGGCATTTTCCCCTCATTGTCAGACGGCATCTTCTGCGGTTTAAATGAAGCCTCGTCATCGCTAAAGTCAACATTTTCTCTTTATTTCAAATATATAACCAGCCCAAACAAATGTAACTCACCAAAATGTTTGACACACACAAATAGCCTGTATTGTGCCACTGACACTGATTTAATAACTGTGACAAAGTGAAAATATAGGCTACTGTCATTTCGAAATGACAGAAAAACACAAACCGTGGTAAAAACAACACACGAAATAAAACACAAACGGCTCGCGATTAGAATGAACAGCAAATCAGCCAGCAGAGTGTCAATAACGGACTTTTATCGGTCATTTTTGTAAATTGCACGATTTTCATACCTGTTAAGTTTCATGCCAGTACTCTGGTTTGCTCTCTCTCTCTGTGTGTGTGTGTGTGTTAAAGAGCCGCTGAGCTAACAGCTGACAGGCCGGGAACGCACAAACACACAGTATTTCTGATGGCAGACACGTGAACTAGGAGAACGTTTTTCTTGTATTTCTGACACGCTTGAACCACATGTGACAGATTATAACGGCTTTAACAGACAGATATCTAAGTTGTGTGTCACAAAAACACTCTGTTATCCATTAAAAACGTTATTAAAACCCATTTTCGGAGCGCAAATTACCAGTTGTATACGCTGTAAACGGAAGTTTTTAGCATTCTACCGGAAGACGCTGGTCGCTATGGCGCCCTCCATGCAGCAGCCATGAAAAAGGTCTATATATAGTAATGCCTTTTGTTCATTTGTTTGTTGTATTAATTAATTTATTAATCTTCATTAATTTTAGACATGGCATACACTGTATGCTGTTAAATAAAAGTATGTGAAAAATAACTGAAAAGTTATGTATATATATTAGAAGTGTTTTTAAACTAAATATTGATCTTTATTTGGTGTGCACATGTACTTGCTGAATTATTTCGATGAATAAATTGCAATATTGTAAGAGTAATTCATTAAATGAATTAAAAGCAAATTAAATCATTTACCTAAAACAAAAATAAAACATTACACTGAATTATTTTTGTGTGTGTGTGTGTGTGTGCCATCCCAAGATTTATTGTGGCCTCTTCTGGCCACCCCTGAGAAAATTTTCTGGGGGTATCACTGTGGGTTTGGTTAAGAATATTGTGGCTGAAGCTGTCAAACTGACATCATCAGAAACATTATCCAAACACATGCACAGACTTTGACTGAAAATTACCAAAACAAGCATAATTTTTAGTGGATTAACTTAATGGATTAATGGTTCACCCAAAGAATAACATTGTGCGCTAATATAACCCTGCCTGTCCTACGCCACCCAACCCGCTCCGAGCTGGTATTGAATTGGCAACCTTCCGCATGGGAGTCGGTTGCTCTAACAAGGAGGCTAAAGACCATGGCTTCTAGCGTCTGTCGCTAGAGCATCTTTAGAGGTCAGATGAGTGAGGTTTACCTGCACAGCACCTACTGGCTGGCCTTCGTTACACTAGCACAATAATAAACATTGTAGATTTTCACACACACGGACTTTAAAGACTGAAAACTGTGACAGATAAAGAGACAAGAGTGTGTTAATCAGGGACAGCGGAGTTTACAGTATGGGTTAGTACTTACATTACTGTTAATGTCTGCATTGTCAACAACACTATCATCATCAACACTCTCCATGTTCTCAGAGGACTGATCTTCGCTCTGAAATGGGAACGTAACAGTAGCATGGGAGGTACACTCATAAGATCCATGAAAACTTTGCAATGCTTAACCATTGCAATAGTACAATAAGTTTTATATTCATCACACTTTTCAAATGCATTAGTTTCTTCAAGCATGTCCATGAGTTGTTGCCTTAATGTCAAAATATGAGCTTCTTGTCATGCACCATTGAAGCATACAGCAATGTCAAAATTGAAACAGACAATATTATGAACGTGTAACACTTCTGTAATTTCATGCACACAAAAACCTGTGTTCTACCTTTGATTTCCTGCGATTAAACTTGAGGAAGCCCAGCAGACCCTTTTTCTCGGATCCACTCAGACTATTGGAGCGGAGAGATTCAGCTGTAAAAGAAAACAGATTTGTTCAGCATCTAAGACAAACATGCAGAAATACAGCAACTACTGTAGTCTAACAACACACAACGTGACAAGATTCAAGCAGCAAGCAATTTGGCTGTCTGTACATAAAGCGACATGACAAAAAATTTTAAAAATCAGCCACTCAGAAGAGCAAAATAGTGAACTGCACTCTTAATGAAATTGACAGGTTTATAATCGAATTATTTAATATTAAACCTCATTAACATTATTCAAAGTACATGTTAAGTGTACATGATGGTTTCGGCTTGCATGGAGTTCACAGTTCTAGGGCTCTGTCTTACACCCGATGCAATAAGGTGCAAGGTGTTGTGGAAATATAAATTTCTATCATCTAATTCCAAATGAACGATAATCTACGTATAACTGAAAAGTTATATTCTTTGGTTTTTAATTATATCATTTCATTGAAATGCCAGCTAGGAGGGACATTTAACCTATGCCTTGCTGACTACAGGCTAAGCCAAAGTGATTTAATTATCGGTTTCACAGCATGGCTGTATCTATTGTCTTCCCTGTCTCCAGAACATCATTTGCACATTGTTGTAATGATGTACTTATATATTGATGAGATCAGACCTGGAGAAGGCATGGCAACCAGACTTCATTTGCATGCTTTGTTTGACTGTCCCCACCATGACTGACCCCACCTACATGCTGTAACATGTATAAATTTATAATGTTTGCTGTGCAGTTTAGAGTTTGCTTTCGATGACGCCACAGCCACGCTGAGTTATTCTTATTAAAAAGGATTCTGCTTTGAAGACAACCGAAAGATTCTCCCTGGTTTTTGGGGCTCTTAGAAGTTTACAACAGTTTTGGGGAGAATCTTTCGGTTGTCTTCAAAGCAGAATGGCTGTGGCGTCATCGAAAGCAAACTCTGGTTTTTGGGGCTCTTAGAAGTTTACAACAGTGTCCACCTGTCAGGTTTTGGAGATGTATGCATTATCATATGGGGCAATAACAAGTGTGTTTGGATATAACTCTTATACCAACTCTTATAACACTTTTACCACACTTTAAAATTAGAACTGAATGTAGAAATTTGTTTTAAAACAAATCTTTGCGTTTAACAAACAAAATTACGAAGTTAAAAACAGATGTCTTCAGTAGAGTGACTGTTTCCTTACTCCACAAAAGTAAAAGAGTAAAGTAAAGAGTAAAAGTAAAGTATAGAAGAAGTAAAGAAGCCGAATGGAGGAGACTCGTTCTTTATCCTCGCACTGCAGATGGTCTGTTTTTCCCCTTACAAAGTCCGCCATGTAAATAGCAAATGTGCCATGGCACGACACAATTGACTCTTAAAGGTAATGTGAGATGAGACTCTGATTGGTTTAATGCACGTTATGATCAAAACATAACCCATTAAGAGAATAAACACAACTCTGTTAGACCATGCGCCAGGGTGCAGAGCTAACTTTTCCACCCATAAAATAGCGAACATGGTTTCGAACATGCTCTTAATGCTTTTTGAGCCATGCGCTTAGACTTTGCACCAATAGATTGTTAAAATAGAGTCCAAAGAGAGCTTGTTTGATTTGATTGTAAGACCTTTAAATAATTTGAGTACAAGAAAATATACCAATGAAATTGTTCGAATTTAACTATTATACAGGGAAGAATAAGCAGTTTTATTTGCTTACAATTGATTATTTAACTTATACTAGAATATGGTTGATCTAAACAAAAAATAAAATAACATTTATGCAGATTATCTGGCCTACCAAATCCTCTCAATCAATATAAAACTATAAGATCTTTCCAAAATGAGCTATTCAAGTCATCTGGTGAAATATTTATATTCATTTTGCATGACATACAGCAGAAAAACTGAACACCGCAATGTCTGATTTTTTTCAATATCGTGCAGCCCTAATCAGGACCATTGACTATAGTTTCATAGGTGACTACAGAATTGAACAAAATCGCATAACAGTATTCATGTTCAGCAAGATAATCTGATCTGCCTCCAGTCTGAGCATAGCTTATGTTGAGAGACAGACATCTAACTAAATCCTTTTCAACAAGTATATATATATATATATATAGTTGAAGTCAGAATTATTAGCCCCTCTGAATTATGAGACCGCTTGTTTATTTTTTCCTCTATTTCTATTTAATGGAGAGCAGATTTCTTCAACACATTTCTAAACATAATAGTTTTAATAACTTATTTCTAATAATGGATTTATTTTCTTTGCCATGATGACAGTAAATATCATTTGACAAGATAATTTTCAAGACACCTCTATACAGCTTAAAGTAACATTTAAAGACTTAACTAGGTTAATTAGGTTAACTAGGCGAGTTAGAGTAATTAGGCAAGTTATTGTATAATGACGGTTTGTTCTGTAGACTATCGAGAAAAAAATAGCTTAAAAGGGCTAATAATTTTGTCCCTAAAATGGTGTTGAAAAAATTAAAACTGCTTTTATTCTAGCCGAAATAAAACAAATAAGACTTTTTCCAGAAGAAAAAATATTACCAGACATACTGTGAAAATTCCCTTGCTCTGTTTAACATCACATTTAAAAAAGAAGAAAGAAAATCGAAGGGGTCTAATAATTCTGACTTCAACTGCATATATATATATATATATATATATATATATATATATATATATATATATATATATATATATATATATATATATTTAAAAAATATATTATCTTAAATATACTGTAAATATAAAAACAGGTGTTTTGAAATCCTTTAGACTCAGAGTAAGTGCAATAAACACGAAGCAGTACAGAAGTCTGACATTAGATGGCGCTACACTTCTGCAAGCCTCTACATTGCCATCACATTCAGATGTAAACAAAAACATTAAAGCAGCTTATAAAAATAAAAACTTAAACAAAGAATAAGCAGGACAGGTTTCTAAATACTAAACAAATGCACCATAAAGAATGTAAGCACCACAATAAAACTAAGCGTAAGAGATGAATATTGAAGCATATGCATGTCTTACATTTTGTCTAGTGACCTGGTTAATGTTAATCATAAGAGCTCAAGCATGTTCTATGACAGGAAGCAGACTCTCAGCACATTCAAAACAGTTCAAGATGTAGGGTTAAGCCACCACAACAACTGTTTAGCCAAAGTTGCGTACACGGCATCAGTACCTGAGTAGTTCAAGGCAGGTGTCGAAGCCATTTTAGGCTGGAGAACTGGAAACAACCAAACCAAAAAACAACAGCAACAACAAAAAAATAAACATTTTGAAGATAAATAAAAGAGAATAGAAAGAAGTTCTATTTTTGTCTTCTCATTTGACTACCAGACAGTAAAGAATAGCTAAATGTCAAAGGCTGTGACATTTGTGCTTTTTAAGTAATGTACCAATAGCACTGACACTTCCTCAACTCAGATACGGAAAGTGGATACTTCTCTCAACAAGAAGAGATTTCTAAGGCATTTAAGAGCAGTGTAATTGTAGCTGAAATGTAATCTTTGCCACCAGAGAAATAAACTACATTTTCTAAATTACCATTATTATTTTAAATTAGAGTATTTTATAGTATATTTTGAATATGACAGCTTTTTGAGAATTTTAATCAAATAAGTACAGCATTAGAGTGCATAAGAGACTTTAATAACATTATTCAGATAATTCTGAAACAAGCAGTTGCTCTTGAACTTAGTTTCAGCCTTAATACTAGGTGAAAGAAAATATATCTAATTATCTGGCATTGTAAAAAGGAAATGAATATATGGATAGTTGACTTGACGTTGCACTTTTACTGTCACACATGCCAAAAATGAATATTAGTACTGTGAAGATTCAAAATGAAATAAATTGTTAATGTTTAAATGTTTGTTTGGCTTTATTTGACCTCTTTTCATATAAAAAAAATTATGTTTTTTTAATATTTTCTATAATACAGTAATTTAAAATCACATTTACTCATTAATTCATTCATTTTCTTTTCGGCTTTGTCCTTTTATTCATCAGGGGTCGCCACAGCGGAATAAACTCCCAACTTATCCAGCATGTTTTACACAGCGGATGCACTTCCAGCTGCAACCCATCACTGGGAAACATCCATACACACTCATACACTATGGTCAATTTTAGCTGACCCAATTCACCAGTACCACATGTCTTTGGACTTGTGGGGAAAACTGGAGCACCTGGAGGAAACCCACAAAAACAACTGACCCAGTTGAGACTCAAACCAGTGACCTTCTTGCTGTGAAGCAACAGCGATACTCGCTGCGCCACCACGTCCCCCGAAATCTAGTAATGTTCAACTTAGTTATTTGATATTCAGCCCTTATAAATTGTTTGCAATCAGTTACTTTAAAAAATGTTAGTAAATCAATGAATCTTTTTTTTCTGTGTGTCTTCCATCAAAACACCTCAGAAAGCTTTCATTAGTTGAAGGACTCAGGCCTCGTTTACACTCATGCGTTTTAGATAAAAAACGATCCGCGTCCACACTAGCGTTTCTGAACATATCTCCGTCCACACTACACCACCAAAAACGTATATCACGTGACCATTCGCGCACTCTGGGCATGCACGTTCTAGAATAAACAGGAAGCATGTGACTCACTCTGCATTTGGTTATTGTTGGTCAACAAACACCGGTGAAACAATGAACGCGATGGCAAAGAAAGCAAGAGAGGTATTTTTGTGGACAGACGACGAGGTTGAGTTGTTACAAAACGTAACAAATAAATAACTGCACAATGGCGCCTAAAACAGACAATAGTGCAAACAACGCTCCCATTTCTGTGTCCATGTTGTTGTTTACAGTGAAGGCTGGTCTGCTGTCTTCCGGTAGCGTTAAAGCCATGTGTTATAGTCATGTGATAGGGGCTTGACGAATAAGGGAAGGATACGCAATGAAACAAAAGCCCCAATCAGATAGCGAATCTCAGCAGCCCCGCCTCCGTTTTCAGATGTCTCTGTTTTCCCTCATCCACATTGAAACGGAGCAGCAGCATTTTAGAATGAAAACAGCCTCTAAAGCGTTTTCAAAACGCTCCGTTTTCGGCGTTCGAAAACTCCTGCGTAGTGTGGATGGATGGCGTAACCGTAGCAAAACTTATGCGTTTTTAAACTAAAACGCATTAGTGTAAACGGGGCCTCATTCAAGAACATAGGTGAAAAAAATCCTATCCAACATTGGGAATATGGACTGCAATATCCAGTTTAATTATACTAGGATTATTGAACCTCAACCTTACATACTGCACCTTTAAATGTAGAGCTGTACTTAATGTAACATTGTGAATCCCATACCTAATGTCTGATCCAGGACATAGAGCTCCCTGATACCCAGATCGCTCAGAGACTTGTCCAAGTCCAGTTGTTGGTGGTTGATATTGTCTTTGAAGAGCAGGACATGGGCTGGATCAAACTCACACTTCTGACAGATCACAGGCACCAGGGTCTGCAGGGGCGCTAATGGATTTACTCGAACCACGGCCTTCTGGCTGCGGTGATAGTTCACTACCAATCGCACGGTTTTCTGTGATGAAAGAAAGAAGTGTAAAAAAGTGAGACATTGAAATTCATTCATTCAACAGTTTATTTAAAATGCTGCTCCCGTATGCTCATTGTTTTGCAAATCTTAGCTCTATTAAATGTCTTACCTGGCATCCTAGAAATGTTTGTTTTCCACATAAGAAATTAATGTAAAGATCAGTGTTCATTTCGACAGCAAATTTGCAACTAGTTTCAGTATTTTGACTAAAATGGTGTTTAGTTTTAGACATACTTTGGAATCGTTGTAGTTTTAGTCTAGGTGTAGTTGACTAAATTTCCTAAGATATTAGTTGACGAAATCTATTTAGAAACTACATTTTTAAAGCTCATTATATACTCCTGGAGAACATCCTAACATTGATTAAACATGAATGCTATTTAAGGGTTAGATGACTCAAAAAAATCTGTCCAACATTAAAATCTGTTTTATGACAATATATGCTAATTACATATAAATGTGCTACAAATTCAAAATTGGACTTCACATATATTGCAAATATTTTTATACTTTGCAAATACTGCAATTATGTGTGTATATGTGTGTGTGTGTGTGTGTGTGTGTGTGTGTGTGTGTGTGTGTGTGTGTGTGTGTGTGTGTGTGTGTGTGTGTGTGTATAGAGAGATAGAAATTTACACACGTACATAAAAAGTTGAAGTCAGAATTATTAGCCCCCTTGAATTATTAGCCCTCCTGTTTATTTTTCCCCCAAATTCTGTTTAGCGGAGAATTATTTTTCAACACATTTCTAAACATGATCATTTTTAATAACTGATTTATTTTATATTTTCCATGTTGACATGTAGACAGTTTTACTAGATATTTTTCAAGACACTTCTGTACAGCTTAAAGTGGCATTTAAAGGTTTGACTAGGTTAATTAGGTTAACTAGATAGGATAGGGATATAGGGTAATTATTGTATAATGATGTTTTGTTCTGTAGACAAAAAAAAAAAAAATTAGTTTAAAGAGCCTAATAATTTTGACCTTAAAATGGTTCATAAAAAAAATTTAAAACTGCTTTTATTCTAGCCAGAATAAAACAAATAAGACTTTCTCTAGAAGAAAAAATATTATTAGACACACAGTGAAAATTTCCTTGCTCTGTTTACAATTTACATGCTACCTCTGGGAGACATTATTAGAAGACATGGGATCAGCTTTCATCTATGCAGATGATACTCAATTATATATTTCAACTAAACCTGACGAGACGTCTGAACTTTCTAAACTAACTGAGTGTATCAAAGACATCAAAGACTGGATGACCAACAATTTTCTTCTCTTAAACTCCGACAAAACAGAATTATTACTTATTGGGCCTAAATCTTGCACACAGCAGATCTCGCAACTCAATTTACAATTAGAGGGATACAAAGTTAGCTTTAGCTCTACTATAAAAGATTTGGGTGTCATATTAGACAGCAATCTAACTTTTAAAAACCATATATCCCATGTCACAAAATCTGCCTTCTTTCATCTGAGAAATATCGCTAAATTATCGCTAAATCCATCTCAGATGCAGAAAAGCTAGTCCATGCTTTTATGACTTCGAGACTGGATTACTGTAATGCTCTATTTGCTGGCTGCCCAGCATCCTCTATTAACAAACTTCAATTAGTACAAAATGCAGCAGCCAGAGTTCTGACCAGGTCTAGAAAATATGATCATATAACCCCAATTTTATCCTCCCTACACTGGCTGCCTGTTAAGTTTCGTATTGAATTTAAAATATTACTTCTCACCTATAAAGCTCTAAATAATCTAGCTCCTGTTTATCTAAACAACCTTCTGTCTCGCTACAAACCAACTCGCTCTTTAAGATCTCAAAATTCAGGGCTTCTGGTAGTACCTAGAATAGCAAAATCAAGTAAAGGATGTCGAGCCTTCTCTTTCATGGCTCCTACACTCTGGAATAGCCTTCCTGATAACGTCCGAGGCTCAGACACACTCTCCCAGTTCAAAACTAGATTAAAGACCTATCTGTTTAGTAAAGCATATACTCAATGCATCACCTAGCGGGTTCCACACTGGCTTCTACATCTTGCTTATATACACTATGAACAGCAGCTACGCTAATTATTCTCTTTATTCTCTATTTTCACCTGGGGATACTCATCCCGAGGTCCTCAGATTATGCGGAGTCACTGATTGGATCCAAGACCAGCGACGTGATGATCCCAAGGATTCCATATCCGGGACCAGGCCATATCCTGAGCTGCTGCTGCGCTGATGTTCGTGGGGAGTGGAGAACATGAGTCTGATTCCAGCGATGCTCCAGGGACAGACGAGTCTTCACTGAGGCCATCTTCCAGCCTAAACCACGACGAATGAAGTTCTGCACAAGACTTTTGGCCAGCGGAGAAATTAAAATGGTCGTGCCCAACTGAGTCTGGTTCTCTCAAGGTTTTTTTTCTTCACTCCCATCAGGTGAAGTTTTTTTTCCCTCTCCGCTGTCGCCACTGCCTCGCATGGTTCAGGATTGGTAGAGCTACGCATCGATGAATTGGCTCTTCAGTGTTTGAACTCTCAGTAATGATTAAATCACACTGAACTGAGCTAAACTGAACTGAACTAAACTTAAACACTAAAACCTGAACCACACTGTTCCAGTTACTGAACCACACTTTTCCAGTTACTATGACCATTTATGTGAAGCTGCTTTGACACAATCTACATTGTAAAAGCGCTATACAAATAAAGCTGAATTGAATTGAATTGTTAAACATCATTAGGGAAATATTTAAAAAATAAAAATAAATCAAAGGGGGGCTAATAATTCTGACTTCAACTGTATATACACACAAACACATTCATATGGCAGCTCTCATGTGGAGAATGAAGTCACATGCATTGCCCAGGTGTAAGTTTTCCACATACTTCCTTGATGGTTCTGTGGGTCTCGTCTATCAAATCTAATCTTTATTTTGTATTTTCTATTGAATTTGAGTGAGGTGATTGGCTGGGCCATTCTACAGCTTGATATTCTTTTTTCCGAAAGCATTTGAGAGCTTGGCTGTGTTTTGGATCATTGTCCACCCTGGTTTCATCTTCATCATCCTGCTAATGTAGATGTTTGACTGTAGCAGCTAATAATCATTTACACCAGGGCTGTCCAAAGTCGGTCCTGGAGGGCCAGTGTCCAGCTGAATTTAGCTCCAACTTGCTTCAACACACCTGCCTGGAAGTTTCTTGTATACCTAGTAAGAGCTTGATTAGCTTGTTCAGGTGTGTTTGATTAGGGTTGGAGCTAAACTCTCCAGGACACTGGCCCTCCAGTAACGAGTGTGGACACCCCTACACCGATAAAGGGCAGAGGGTTGCTGAATAACTACTGAGATTTCAGCTGCTGTCTGGGCTTTCACTGCCTTTCTGCACCTTCCTTTCTTCATTTGTTCAACACTTTTTTTCCTGTGTCATTTCATTTTATTACACATAAGTTCATTTGTAAACTAATTAGATTTGTTTATATGTATTTGTTTGTTATCAACATCTGGTGAAAATTTCAAGTCAACGGCACCTTTAGATATATGTTTTCTGAGAAAAATGGTGACGTGTTTAACACCTACATATGTCAATGTGAATACTATTTTTTGTATCCCTACCCCTTCCCATTGGCCCTTCAAATGGAGTGTGAAGAGGAAGGGCTTCAAAATTTAACCCTAAGAGATGAGACATCACTAGAGCACCTGCACACATCATCATATGTCATTGCGAGCTCGTACAGTACTTCATATGAGATCGATGAACGCGACTGCTGTAGTTATTCCAGTTGTGTTATTTTTTGGTGTTTATCTTCAGGAAATCACTGAAGGCATATATCAGGTTATCATAACAATATAATGTGGCATTAAGATCATTACTGTACTGTGGATTTACACTGTGGCCATATTTGCCATGTAAACACACTAAAACAACATTAACGTCACCAGACACTAGCTATGTTTCCATCCATCCATTTTGAAAATGCGCATAAAAAACGTATGCGCCTAACTGAGTAGGATAAACTTTTTATTCGATAAGAAAAGATGCGCATAAACTGCGATGGAAACACTTTTACCGGACAAACTCCAGCATGCGCATTAAAAAAGGTCATGTGATTTTGTTAAAAGAGATCATGTGATGCATCTGAAATGTTGTTTTGGTCATTATAAAACGCCTTACCATTTCAGTATTAATGTTATTATATTATTAATGACCTTCAGAATCAAGAGCGCCTGGGCTCCGTGTCTGACACCTTCAAACGTCACTACTTTTTTAAGCATGACGGTAAAACACGAGCACGGTTTTGAACCTATAAAAACATATGCTTGTCTGTTGTAAAAATTCACAATATTGACAAAAATACTCATTTGTGCATCTCCTTACTTCTGTGTGCAGCTATGCTGCTGTAGTAGATGATGTATTCTGGGAAGTTTTGCATCCCTTGGTTTTGAGTGTGGTCCTGAAAAATCTCAGTTTCAAGGACTATCTAACCCATCCTTTTAAGCCTGGTTTATCTTCTGCGTCAAGTGATCGGCATGACCCATGGCGCATACAACGCGCGTAGCTGTGCATTTATACTTCTGCGCGCTGTTTCTGTTGTTCTGCAATACATTTTCAAAACGCTAGCTGGCAGTGAGGTGCTTATGTTCCTCTGTGTAGAGTTTCTTCGCTGGTGATTTGTTTTTTTTGGCACGCTTCCTTAATGTACAAGTGGCTCAAACTCGCTAATTTTGACCGGCGGATGTGCAACAACTTTAACCATGAGGTAAACACAAAACAACACTTTCCATCAGGAGCTCATTCACGGGACTCCACACTTGTAAACAATCGCTCAATCAGGCTCGTGCAGCTTTCGGTCCCGCCCAGATTAGTCAGCGCTACCAATCAAAGAGCTTGCGCTACGTGTCGTTGCGGCGTGTAGTTAAATTTTTTGAGAGGTGCGCGTCAGCGTCGCCTACGGCGTAGGGTTATGCGTCAACGCGTAGGCTGCACTGTAGCAT